TTCTTCTTCTTCTTCTTCTTCTTCTTCTTCTTCTTCTTCTTCTTCTTTTGTAAAAGGAAAACTTCTTTTTCTTCTTACCGGGTGCAATAGATGCCTTTCTAAACAAGAAAAAATTGAGAACCTACCAAACTCCAAAGTCTATTCCCATTCTTACAGTTTGGAGAGTTTGTGTTAGCTTTTAATGTTCTTTTTTAAAACTGTTAATAAAATGTATACATTAAAAAAACAAAACAAAATCTAGACTCCTCCCAAGGTAACTTTATTTATTCATTCATCTGTTCATTCGTTCGTTCGTTCGTTTGCTTGCTTGCTTCCTTATTTACTTATTTTTAATTTATTTATTGAAGAGAATGTATATGTCTGCCCACTCACTCTCAGTCACTCATATGAGCCAGCAATTCAAAAGAAAAAACAACAACCACACACTTCCATGTTGTGCATGATTTGGCCACCAGAAGGTACTAGAACAGGCTGCATGTAGATGGAGCCACAAATAGTCTCAATCTAACAAACTTAATATCTGGGTTAATTTTGGATTCAGTTAGGATCTGGCCAGAAAAAGCTATAGCATTCAAGCTACTTAAGGAATTACGATTAACTTCAGTTGTGCATTTTTTTTGGGGGGGGGGGGAGGGTTGTTCCAGTTTGTAGCATCGTCCAACCTGTTTGGTTAATTTCTTCAAAGCAGGTGAACCGTTCTACTCTGTTTTTCTTTGAGGGAGTTCATCGTGGCCTTGTTCTAGTACCTTAATGGCTTGTTCTTTCATACTTTCCACAGCTTGGACAGTACAGATAGTCCCCAATTTATAGACCTTCGTTTAGCAACTGTTCAAAGTTACAACTGCACTGAAAAAAGTGGCTTACAAACAATACTTCACACCATCAAAAGCTGGGAGAAGATTAAAAACTCGAGGTCCTTTTTTTTTTAACCATCTAGGAATATCGTCAATAATAACAATAGAAAGCACACTGACAGTAAACCAAACATCTTATTAAAAATATAAGGTGCCCTCTTTATTCATAGGATATGTCTGCCCTCTCCTGGCTTCAAAAATTATAACATGGCTCCAAATATTGCCTATTATTCAGAATATATATCCTAGCACATGATATTTCCTGTCTCGGCATATCCCAGAACAGTCACTAAAAATAAAATTATATCAGTCGGACTATCCAGTTTGGTTGTTGTTTTTTTAATTTATACATAGAATTCCAAATGCGTCCAGGTTTGAAATTTTGGGGTTGGACAATCTGGAACTGCGCCGCCTGATGTCCGATCTAAGCAAATTGTCTGCTACAACGTCTTGCCTGTCAATGACTTCTTCAGTTTCAACCACAATAACACACAGGCAAAGAACTGATACAAACTCAAGGTAAATCCCTCTAAACTTGACTGCAGAAAATACGACTTCAGACACAGAGTGGTCAGCGCCTGGAACTCACTCCCCGACTCCATTGTTACAACCTCAGCCCCTCGCAGCTACAACCTCAAACTGTCTACAGTGGACCTCACCCCATTCCTAAGAGGTCCTTAAAGGGGGCGTGCGTAAGCACACCAGCGTGCCTATCGTCCCTGTCTTAGTGTCCTCATCTATCTGTATTTATTTCCTTTGTTTATGGTTATGTTCATACGCACACTTGTTATCTTGAACATGTTTGACAAACAGATAAATAAAAATAAATGAAATGCAATGAAATCCACTCTATTTCTGTGTGGTGGAGAATTATTCCCCCCTACTATTTTCCCTGGGTGCTAGTTTCTTGAGGATTAGACACCTTGACTGTCACAATCTCTGGAAGAGTAAGAAAGACCTCCCTTTCTCTCTCTCTCCAAATGTTCTCTCAAGGTTTTGAGAATCTTTTTCTGTGTGGAGAAAGAAATTGGTCCTTCTCATTAAATGATTAGTGCTACAGTTTTCTCAGGCGGCAGCTCCAAATGTTTAGTGTTAACAACGAGGCACCTTTCTAAAATGTGATCCGTCTCAAACTATGCATAGTGGGATCGAACGTCTGATGTGTAACTTACACAGTGTGCAACACTTTACATAACTATTTAGGTTTTAAATTCCTACATCTATAATTGTAGGCTATTGTGCAGTTTTGCATACATCATCTAAATATACTATTCCTAAATTTCCCTCCGCTCAAGATCATCTATTAAGTTTTGCTAAAGACTGTAGCGGTAAACCTACTCAAATAGCAACTTAGGTGAGGTTTTTCAATTCTTAACTCTCTGGTCCTTTGCAACCTCTCAGGCTGGTCTTGTTTGGAGCTTGCGGGATGCTAAAATAGGCCAAGCATATCAGGAAAATTAAAACAGGGTAAAAAAATTTTGGGGAAAAAAGACTTTGAGGTACAAAGATCACTTTTTTTCTGAATTCAAGTCCTTTAATATTCTCAAAGTGGCCTTATATTTATAAGTATCATTGGGTCATTTCTTAATTTCCAATCACCAAAAATCACTTTATCATCTTTAGATATGCTCCTATTTTTTTAATGCAATAAAATGTTTTGATATTTTTTTCATCTGGATTTTTCCCTCCACAAAGCAATCAATGTATACGCACCTAAATCATTGCAGCCATGGAAATACTTGCACCTTGATCTAACGATTATAAATAATAAAATGTTCGTCCTGGAGAATCACTAGCCATAGTTCTATTTTTCACAACAAATTCAAAATATTTATACCTCTGCCTTTTAATTTTCCAAAAATGTGATATTTTTTTTCTCCAACTATTCCTGGCTCCCCCTTGATCATATATAGAATGGATCCCACTTGATCAAAAGTGTCCACAAAAGAGACCTACAACAAAATGGATCGACAACATCAGCAAATATGGTGGGCCCAGTTGGCAAAAGAAAACTCAGGACCCACTGAGTTGGAAACATGTAGAAGAGGCCTTCATCTTGCATCCTGGATAGACAGCGGCGATCATGGTGACGATTATAATCCATGCATTTCTTCACGGTTATTCTTTGATTATCCACATGTTTGGAGAAGTGACAAGTTTACCAGTCATCCCTTTAGTTACCTAGACTATAATTAATGTTAACATCATCGTTTAATCATCCTGGCATGTGAAACTTGCTATAACCAAGATTTCCCAATAAGAATTTCATGAGATTAAACATCTGCATTCAAATGCCCGCCTTCTCTTTATTCATTCCATTGTGATTTAATTACAGCTAACCTACTTCTCTCTAAACAGGCTGGGACTACAGGATTAACAAGTGTTCGTTTAGTGTCCATTCAAAGTTACAACTGCACTGGAAAAAGTGACTTGTTATCGTTTTGTTTTTTTTACACCTGCAACGCTTACAATTGATTCCTTCCAATGAGGCTTCCTGAGTTCCTTTCATCTCGTTCCAATGCAAGAATGGAAACACGTCAAGTTTGCTCACCAGCCTCCTACACAACCAGATGCATGCTCCTTATCTCACACCCATTCACAACTGATTCTAAGCCCACGGACTGAATCTTGCCTGTTTTATCATATTCAAGGAATGTTGTATCTATTCACCGCAGCCCCAGCCCAGATTCCATAAACCCATGGATGCACTTCTTTCTTTCTTTTTAGTCACTCTTAGCCAAATGAATAAATTCTACATTCTGCAAGAGTTCAAATTAAATCCTCACTTTTTTTCCCTTAAATAAATCAAAGCTGTTGTGGGTTCCCCAGGGGGAAAAAAAACTTATAAATGAATGGATCTTGGTGCTCTCTTGTTGTCTTGTAGACGTTTCATTATTATTAGCACTGATGATGTTACCTAGTTGGGTAATAAAACGTCTGCAAGAAAACAAGCAAGTTCAGAGAGTACAAGGACCCCACAGTTCTTTTCCTCCTCCTCCTCTCTGCAAACCCCCTTCTAGCAGTGATGATGTTACCTAGTTGGGTAATGAAATGTCTGCAAGCTACGAGAGCACCAAGGATCCCTCATTTCAAAGCTCTGTATGGTTTGCCAATTGCACAGGGGCAGATAAGGAAAGCACTCCAGAGGGTGAACATCATTGCCCAGAGGATCATGGGTTGCCCTCTCCCCTCTTTGGAAGAGCTTTATAGCTCCCGCTGCCTTAAGAAATTTCAAAACATCCTCAAAGATCCATCTCATCCTGGACACCCCCCCTTTTTTTTTTTTTTGAACTATTACCATCTGGTTGACGGTACAAGATAATAAAAACAAGGACAAATATGCTGAAAAACAGCTTCTATCCCACGGCAGTAACTCTGTTGAATTCTACTGAGTAGTGCAGTGTTGGGGGCTTTCAATTCAATGTGTGGAGTGTGAAGGATGTGTGTTTGTGTTTATTTTCACAGTCATGATGTGCACTGAAGATGGTGTTTGATTTCATTGTACGAGGTGCAATGACAACAAAGGAAACTAAACTAAACTGAGCTACAAATACTCCTTTATTAGTGCATAAATGAATATTTGCATTGTGTTTAACCCCAATTTATATGATATAGGATTAAAACATAGCAAGTTGGAAGCAAGCATTTTCTTTTATTTTTATTTTTTTTATCAACAGTTTGGAACATAGAACATAGAGTCCTAAGGTTGGAAGGGTTCTTGGAGGTCTTCTAGTCCAACCTTCTGTTTGAGCAGAAGACCTTATACTTGGTTGTCCAATCTACTTAGAAAACTTCCATTGGTGGAGGGGGGAAAAAATCTACAGATCTCCCCGCTCTCAGTTTTGTCTTCCTAGGTGTGCCTGGCATATCCATCCATGAATTCAAGACAACATGGACTATTTAAAAAATGCATTCATTTGCTCTTTAGCATGATGTTAATATCCTGAGTCAAAAGGTAGGTTGCAGATCATGAGCTAATTAGAATTGTCTTTTATTCAAGAGACAAAAGAAAAATAAATATGGACATAGCTGGGTGATGTCTCACTCCCGGACAGCCTAAAAAAACAGTATATAAAAAGATCCCTTGGAAGAGGTGTCCATACTACAGCTTGGTGTCCTTCAGAGATCACCTTGAGAATCAGGTATGTACCTTCTGTTCCATCTCTCTGACCAAGCTCGGTTTTTTCTCCTACAACTTCTAGAAGGGAGAAACCCAGACAAGGGCAAGCAGAAAGATTGAGGAGGGAAGAGACCCAGAGATGGAAGGGGATATCACAGAGATATGGACTCCTGGATACGTTAAGGATAGGGGGTCTTCAAACTTGGCAGCTTTAAGACTTGTGGACTTCAACTCCCAGAATTCCTCCTCCTCCAGTCATGTTAGCTCAGGAGTTCTGGGAGTTGAAGTCCACAAGCCTTAAAGCTGCCAAGTTTGAAGACCTTTGCTTTAAGAGAACATGGATGGTGGAAGGTCCTTCATTTCTAGTAGGGAAAATCCATCGCAGAGATTGAGGATGGATCAAAAGGAAGCCCTTCTTTAAGCTATGCCCAGTTTTCCTTGGGGGGTGGGGAGGTCTCCCTTGTAACAATTGCAGAGATGGTTCCTGAAAGGGGTTAGAAGATAAATGGATGGAGAACAAGAACCATCTCAAGTTACCAGTTGTTGCCTTCAGAGTAGCTCCAGAATCAAAGGTGACATGTTTTAACTCCAACGGTTGGAGAATGATGGGGAGCCAAGACCTCCTTCCATCCATAAAAAATGTCCTGGAGGTATCTGGACCAGCTTCGAATGGTGGACTAGACCTTCCTCTGAGCTGGCCAGACAAGGGGTTGGACTAGATGGCCTCCAAGGTCCCTTCCAACTCTTGTTATTCTGTTCTGTTGTGCTCAACTCATCTTTAAAACAGTTGGCATGTCCTGGGGTCATGTAATTCCCCTTTTGATGGACTTGCATTTCCGGGAACACACGTTTCCCTAATGAAATATATACATAAAATATAATCCAGCGATATAAATAAGTGACTTCATCTCGAGCAGCTGATCTGAGTTCCTTGGAAGAGAGTCCACATTAGCGACAGGTCCAACTAGCTATGATGAAATGTAGTCCAGATTCCCGGAAGGGAGGGAGGGGATGCCATCCCAGAAAAGCAGGGGTCAAACCAGTGGTGGGATTCAAAAAAATTTACTACCAGTTCTGTGGGCGTGGCTTGGTGGGTGTGGCATGGCTTGGTGGGCGTGGCTTGGTGGGTGTGGGGAAGGGGAAGGATACTGTAAAATCTCCATTCCCTCCCCACACCTGGGGGAAGCCTACTGCAAACTCCCCTTCCCTCCCCGCCCCGCTAACCTGCTTTCCAGCTCCGTTCTCCTGTACAGGCAACCAAAGAAGACCCAGCTGATCAGCTGGGACTCAATGGGAGGCAGAGAAGAGATGTGGGTGGGGCCAGTCAGAGGTGGTATTAGCCTCTTCTCTGGACTACTCAAAATGTCCGCTATACCAGTTCTCGAGAACCGGTCCAAACCGGCTGAATACCACCTCTGGGTCAAACGCAGTTTAAATAGTTGGTGTGAGAGAAATAGGGTGAAGATGGAAGCTGCTAAACCAGTAGTTCTTTGACTTCCAATCAGCTGTTTAACCGCCCGCCCCCGCCCCCCAAAAAAATGCCTATTTGGAGGAGTGGATTCAAACTTACGACTGCAATATCCGCTTAACAATGGTTGCACAATTAGAGTTGGTTAATGGGATGTCTTGATTTACAACCGGTGAGGACTTACAACCAGAAGTCGGCTCCTGATTGGGTCCAGAAGTCAAGGAGTACCCATATAGGTTTAGGGAGCAAGGAATGTGAGAAGTTTTCCATCAACAAATGAGGAACAGTAAAGGAAACGGTGTGGAAGAATCGTGATGCGTCTTTCTTGGGGCGGGGATGGAGCCTGACATTTGTGGTATCAGCTTTGGAAGCCATATTAGCACCAGACGCTTCCACACTGCCAGATTCTTGAGCCTGGGAAAACGGGAGGTGGTAATTTCTTGGAGTGTATGTGGTTAGACCTAATAGCATTCTTTTTCTAAGTCAAGGTCATGTTATCTCTGCACCTGGCTGAGAGGACATCTCAAGTTGGGACGGATGGTGATTGAGGCATGGTGATGCAATGAGGGGTGCAGGGGGTGGATTTGTAGTTTTTACTTGCTGCAAGGAAACCAGAAACTTTCAGATTCAGGACTTCCCAGATGTGCCAGTTTACTACTCAAATTAAGAGAACTTTGGATGTCTGTCTCAGAGTTATTTGTTGGAGTGGAGGTTTTCTGGAACGCTGACATCTTGTTTCCTCTCTTTCCTTTCAGCGTTGCTTCTTCTTCTTCAAGAACCAAGAAACATGGGTGCCCAGGAAGACAAGCATCGTCAACAGGAGGATGAGCACCCATCATGCAGTAACTCTTGTACGGCGTATGGAAACAACCCCAGGAGCGAAGCTTATGATGACCAACAGACTTATACAACAGATCCCTGCAGTTACCAAGGGACGTCCGATCAGGAGCCCCCCGAGCTCCCAAGACACCACCAGCAGAAGAGGAAAAATTGCCAGGGGTCTCCCTAGAAGGAAAAGCCAGAAGAATTCCTAGAAGGGGGCTTTTCCGCAGGAAGTGATTGTCCCCACTTCCTGTCTTCTGCCCGTCCATTGGCATTCCCCGAACTTTTGGTTTTAGCTTGGGAGGATCTTGGGAAGAATGTCTAACTGTATATTCGCTCTGCACAATCACAAGAAAATATTGTAATCTCTAGCTCTGTCACCGTCCGTCCTTCCTTCCTTTCCCCCTCCTTCCCTCCCTCCCCCTTATCTCTTCCTTCCTTCCTTCCTTCCTTCCTTCCTTCCTTCCTTCCTTCCTTCCTTCCTTC